TTTTTTTTTTTTTGGTTTTTCGAGACAGGGTTACTCTGTGTAGCTTTGTGCCTTTCCTGGAGCTCGCTCTGTAAACCAGACTGGCCTCAAACTCGCAAAGATGCTCTTGCCTCTGCCTCCCAAGTGCTGGGATTAAAGGTGTGTGCCACCACTGCCCAGCTAAAGTAGAGTCCCACACCACGTGGTTCCACTGGGGCTCAAAACCAGGACCTTCTGCATGTAAAGCAGACGTGATAACTGCTACACTATGGAACTGGGTGCAGTGGCTTCTTGAGAGCACACAGCATCTCCCACTGACAATGCCCAGACACTGGTCAAGACCCGAGAGCTGTGGGGCCACCCTTCCATACAGCTTTCTCTTCTTCTGGCCCTGAACGTCCCAAGCTCTCTGACCTTGATATGTCAGCATAGCAACGCTTCAAGGCTTGGCTCATGTTCAACTTCTAGGCAAAGGTCTAGATTCTGGTCCATTGGGACCTCGGAACAGGGCATGTCCTTTTGTTTCAGGGAACACTGTCATCTGCCGTGGTATCCATTACATTCCACCAGAAATGCTCTCTCAAATTTTGTGGAGGTTACAGCTCCATGTCGGGATGGAACTCGATTGTTCTCATGGCAGAATGCAGAAAGCATCTGCTTGGTTTGAAATGTGTTGTTAGATGCCTTCTTAAAAAGTTATACTAATCTAAATCAAATTTCTAAATTTATATTCTACCAAATGAAATTTTTCCACTTAGCTTTTGTTTTCTTCTTTATGGATATTGTCTTTGAGATGTCCTTTCAGATCTGCTGTCCACTGTTAGTCTTGAATTTAAGGGTTCACTTTGTGTTTCACAGGACTTGTCAAGTACACTTGATTAGAAATATTTCCCAATACCCAGCTTGTCTTTTCCTTCTCTCATCTTTACTAAAGTTGTACTCATAAGGGTTTTTTTTCTTGATGGATTAATATCTAGGTATTATGGAAGAACCTTTTGCTCAATGTAGCATCAAAACATTCCTCTTATTTTCCAAAGGTTTTACATTTTCATTTAGGCTTATGAATCATTTGCAATCAATTTTGTATAAACTTAAGTTATTCTTGCACATATATGTCAATATTAGCTATCTGTTACTACATGGCAAATTCAAACATAGTACATAGGTAAACAAAGGCATATCCCTTAGTATCTGTGGATGGTACCTCTGGAAGCAGGTTACCTGACCACTTGTGGCACCGTGACTCCCGTGAGGTAGCTGGCAGCTGGGCCATCAGCACCTCGAGGCTTGTCAGGCGGGGCTGCTCTCACTCTCCGGCCCCGTCTACTGCTGTTGAAAGGCCTCAGCCTATGATGCTAGGCTTCCTGCGCAGCGGCTGGCAGGCCTTTTCCCCTCACCACTTGAGCCACTGCCGAAGCCGATTAAACATTCACAGTACCTGGCACAGAATTCCCCTAGAGGGAGCAGAGAAACTGAGCCAGTGCAACAAAGGCAGAAGTCAGGAGCTTTTCAAACTCAGTCTTGGACATGTTGGGACTACAGCAATGACCAAAAGAAGAAAAGTGTACTGATTTAGAAAGGGGGAGAATGGCGCCCAAGCATATGATTAATGGACAAAGGACAAGCAAATCCTAAATTAGGGAAATCTATACTTAAAATGGTCTTTTCCTCATCCAGTTAGTAGAGGGAATATTTTGTGTAGTGATAAATGAAGTATTTAAAAGTCTTTGGTGTTCTGAGGAAAATCAGCAGTCTCCAGGAAGGTACATAAATTCTACTGTATACACATATTCATTGATCAGTACTGTTTATGCTCACACAGATACACATGATACTACTGTTTTGAGGGAATATCCACAAATAATAAAAGTTACTTTGGTTTTTCTCTTGTTCTATAGAGTTATGAATGGTTTTTAATTTTCTGTATCTTTTTCCAAAATGTTTTATTTTCTGGTGGGAACATAGCTATTATAATAAAGCATTTTATTACAAAGAACTTTAAAATAGCAGAAGAGATTGTTTAATTTAAGTAACCTATAGAAAATAGCAGTTATTTTGATAATACCAACCTTTACTCCAGCATGTTTATATTAATATATTCAAAGTTTTTCTTTAATATTGCATACTACCACTTGAGTTGAAGGAAAAGAAAATTCTAAGAACTACCTTAAACATTTTCCAGTTTTCAAAACATCAATAATTCTGAAATGCTTAAATGTATAGTTAAGTCTCTAGTTGTTTATAAATTAATTGCGTATCTCTCACATTTATACGTATTAGATCATACCTCAGGAGAATGACACCCGCTCTAGCCTGACGTATAAGTACATCATTCATGAAGACTCTGTCCCCACAATCAACAGCAACAATGTCATCCAGGAGGAGCTGGACACCTTCGAGTGGGCACTGAAGAGCTGGTCTCAGTGCTCCAAACCCTGTGGTGGAGGTAACAACCACATACATTTTCAAAGCAGTTGATCACTGTGTATTGGTCTATGTAATAATGTGTTCAATTATGGCACTTCATATACACCTATATTGTGCATTTTGATCTCTCCTCTCTCTCTCTCTCTCTCTCTCTCTCTCTCTCTCTCTCACACACACACACACACACACACACACACGCCCCTCACCCTCTCCTGCCCCACTCCTACGCCTGCTGCTCACTTTCCTCATCCATCCGATTCTCCTACTTTTATGTCTTTTTTTTTCCACAGTAAATTTTATGTCAACATGTATGTCAATCATACAAAAAGCCAATCTTGCTTTTACTCTAATATCTGTCTCTAATTTGAAGCTGCAGTTGGAGAAATACCAATCAAACTCTAAATACAAAGCCATTGTTAGTTATTTCTCAGAGTTTGCAAAGGATGTGATGCCACTTAAAACAAGAGCAGACCATAATATCCCCGTGCTCTTTCCTCCCAGGTTCTTTATGTCTTGTGTTCAACACAGTAGCACCTTAATCACTTTTCCCAAAATCTAAAGCTGCGTCCAATCCAGTTTCCTCTGGTTGCTGCCTCTCCTCTCCATTTTGCCCTCCAGGTGTATGCTCACTTTTCTGTTTCAGCAGTGCCCTACCTCTGACTATAGATCAGCAGTGCCCTACCTCTGACTATAGATCAGCAGTGACCTACCTCTGACTATAGATCAGCAGTGACCTACCTCTGACTATAGATCAGCAGTGACCTACCTCTGA